TAGCGGAGGGCGCCGGCCGCCCCGGGGGGGGGGGGGGGGGGGGGGGATGCTGCCCCCAGCCTCAGGAAAAGCCAGCCTGCGGGACTGCCTTTCCCCACCTGTCTCACACCCCCCACAGCTGTGCTCCAGGCCGCCAGACTATTTCTGGCAGGGACATGCAAGATATTTCTGGGGCCGCAGGGCAGGGCGGGGCGGCTGCAGTGCCCCCCAGGGGCCGATCCAATTATATCCTCCAGGCTGGAGGGTTTGGTGTCGGGGTGAAGTGCGCGGACTCTCATCTGGGAGCACCGGGTTTGATTCCCCACTCCTCCTCCGCTTGAACCTGGCTGGATGACCTCGGGCAAGCCATAGTTCTGACAAGAGCCGTCCTTGGAAAAGAGCAGTTCCTGTCAGAGCTCTCTCAGCCCCACCTGCCTCACAGGGTGTCTGTTGTGGGGAGGGGAAGGGAAAGGAGTTTGTAAGCCCCTCTAAGACTTGGGTAGTGAAGGGATCCACTCTCTCTCTCTCTCTCTCTCTCTCTCTCTCTCAGACACACACAGGCATGGCTCCTGCCCCCCAAGCCTCTCCAGAGCAGGAGTTTGGTGAGAAAAGAGCTCGCTGGGTCAGTTCCTGAGCGAGGGAGCCAAAGTCAATATTTACCGGGGAGCTGTGCCTCCGGCAACGGTGGCTCTCTCCTTTCCCGGTCCTCCTCCGCCACACCCAGCCCTGCACACTGGAGGAGGGAGTCCACCTGTCCTTCCCACAGAGACAGGCTCCGTGGAATGGAACTCCTTTCCGGCCTTGGGCTCTGAAGACCACTCAGGCAGCCCCTGAGCACCACTGAATGGGGGGGGGGGGGAGGGCTGGGCAAGTGGGGTGGGGGAGGGAGTGAAGAGGGCCCCAGTGTGTCAGTCGGCGTGGGGAGAAGCAGGTGATGGAAATGATGCAGTCCCCAGCAGGGGCGTCCTCTTTGCACAGGTGCCCACCCAGGTTACAAGCCCACCCGGGTAAAGAGCGCCCTCGCACGCCTACCTGGCCCCCAGAGGGGCATGCCTGCCACGCACAACAACCCGTCCGGACACGCACACAGAGCCACGTGGCAGCAGCCCGCCCGCCGTCCCCAAGGCAAGCGACGGCACCTGCCAGGAGGGGGCACCCGAAACCCAGGCTGGGCCACCACCCGTGGGCCGTGCCAGCCCACCCCTCCCCCAGCCCCAGGCCCTCTGCCCAGCAGGCAACCGGCAAGACACCTCATTGTCCCCACAAGTTAACCATTAGCCAGGAGCTCTGGGAGCCGGGCTGGGTGGGGCTCTCTGTGGGCAGCTGGAGCAGGCCAGGGGAGGGCCCAGGATCATTTGGGACCCGCAAAATACTCCCCGTTTCTACCTTGGCGTGTCACCAGTCTCAGGCATTCACAGCCTCTATGCCTCTGAGTCAACTCCCGCCCCTCCCTCTAGTCCCTGCAGGAGCCCCCCCCCCGCCACTGCCCAGCAGAAGAAGCCACTTTCAACCACTGCGAAAACAGGGTTCTCAAAGCTAACGGCAGGAGGCACCAAAAGAGGACGCGGGGCTGGAGCAGAACAGGGAAAGTTTTCCTTTTGCCCAGAAGACGCACAAAGGCAGCGCCTCGGCTACAGAGGCCCCTACCGTGCCAAGGCATGTTCCTGCAGGACCTGCCCCCCCCCCCAATGTTACAGCTCAGGCAGGTCTGTTAAGGGCTTTTGGAGCAGCAGCAGCAGCAGCAGCAGCCACCGCCGCCTGGTTTGTGCCAAGAAGCAAGCTGGGAGCCAGAGCAGCCGGAAGCAGGCGGGAACAAGAGGCTCTCGTAAGGACCCCGGCTGCCCTATTACGCTGCAGCCTCTGAACAGTCTTCAAGGTCTGTCCCCAGCAAGGCAAGCTGCAATAGTCCAAGAGGGATGTCACTTCAGTATTCCTGACTGTGGCCAGGTGGCCTTTCTGCAAGAAGCCTCACAACCAGCCAACCTTAAGGTAGGGGAAAGGCGCCCCCACCCGCATCAGCCACCTGCCTCTCCCAGGATGATGAGGCACCCAGGGGCCCCTCCCAGCTGCATACATGCTCCTTCCTCTCCGGGGGGTGGGGGTGGTGTAACCCTGCCTCCTGCATCAGCCTTGTTACCAACCCACCGCTTGGCAGTCCTGTCTGGACTAAATTTCAGTTTATTCACCCGCAGAACGATCTCAAGAGGCTGGAAAGCTGGACTGAAACTAGCAGGCAAAGTCAGCAGAGACAAGCGCCAGGTCTTGCACTCCGGCAAAAAGAACTGGATGGGCAGCTACAGAGTAAGTGTTACCTGTCTTGGTAGCAGGGCATGGGGAAAAGATTTCAGGATTGCAGTCAGCCAGCAGGGTGATACTGCTGCAAAAAGGGTTAATGTGATCTTAGGTGGCAGAAGCAGAGCAAGCAGGCCAGGGGCAGTCCTCTCCCCCCTCTGCCCGTACTAGTCAGACCTCCTCCAGAGTCCTGGGCCCATTTAAAGAAAGACGTGACCAACAGGAGCACATTAAATCTGCCTTCTACTGAATCAAGACCCCCCCCGCGGGTCCATCAGCCCCAGCCTTGCCTGCTCAGACTGGCAGCAGCTCTCCAGGGTCTCAGGCGGAGGGTTTCGCATCACCTGCTGCCTGGTCGTCTTAACTGGAGGTGCTGCTGGGGATTGACCCTGGGACCTGCTGCGTGCCAAGCAGACGCTCTACCACTGAGCCTCGGCCCCTCCCTATTCAGAGTGGAACAACAAAAATGGTTGGGCGGGGGTGGGGGGGGATCTGGGAAAAAGTACTGCAAGGAAAGACTGGATGCACTGGGGTGTGTTTATCCTGCAAAAGAGAAGACGGAGGGGCGATAACCGTTACACACACAGTCCCAGGGCAGAGGGGGCCAGGGCTTGTCCTCTGTAGCTTTAGAGAGCGAAAGGCCGGATCTTTGTGGACTTCATTTCCTGGCGGGGAGACTTTGATTGCATATTAGGGGAAACATCTCATGGCGAGAATGTTTGGACACTGGAACCAACTACCAGGGCGGGGGGGGGGATTCTCCCACACAGGAGGCGAGACGATCGTCACCTCTTGCCAGTTTGGTGTAGTGGTTAAGTGCGCAGACTCTAATCTGGGAGATCCGGGTTTGATTCCCCACTCCTCCACTTGCACCTGGCTGGACGACCTTGGGCAAGCCGTAGTTCTGTTGTGGGGAGGGGAAGGGAGAGGAGTTTGTCAGCCGCTCTGAGACTCCCTTGGGTAGTGAAGGGCCGTGGGGTATAAATCCAACCTCTCTCTCTCTCTCCTTGCTCCAGCTTCCCTCCTCTGGGGTGCAGCCGCTCGCAGCCTCCAAACACACCAGGCCTCCCGTCTCTGCTGACAGGCTGGGCCTCTGAGGATCTCTCTTCCAGGCACAGGGGCAGAAAACAGGCCAAATCCACCCGAGGGGCTGGCGGCAAACGGGACTGAGCAGCCGCGCAATGCCTGGGCCGAAGCAGCGACCTCTCCTGCCAGCTGAGCCCTGAAAGCCTCCTGCAGAGCCCGTGGGCTCCCAGTGGGGGCAGCCAGAATCCTCAAGCAGCTGGAATTGCCCCCCCCCCTCCGTGAGGAAGTCTACGGTTCTTCAGGCTTTTCGCTCAGGGAAAAACAGGGAGGGGGCCGGGAGCGAGGGCACCACTGCATTCATGCCCCACCTCCCACCCCAGTGGGGACCCAACACGGCTTGTGTCATTCTCTTCTCTTCCATTTTATCTTCACAACAACCCTGTGAGGTAGGTGTTGGGTATCACAAGTTGAAAACACTCAGTATATCTGGGGTTAAATGTTTGTTTCTGTTACTCACAGGAAGTCACATGTTTCTCATGTAACCAATGTTCTTTAGCTGTAGAAAGCCCGGAATTTTCTCCCTGATCTAGGAGTTTGATTGGGACTAAAGTGTCAAGGTGTATTAGCATTTTATGGCTCTCCTCCCGTCTTTGTTTGGTGTTCTGAAGAAGAAGAAGAAGAGTAGCCATACTCTCTCTCCTCTTCTAGTTTTGTCTTTGTAGAGTAAGGATGTAGCCGATTTAGCTCTGTTGTTATTTTCATCCCAGTTACCCTTCCCATGCTCGAATTTAGTAAAAACTTCATATTTTAATCACACATGGACTCTCAAGTCTGAATTATCTTACTCTGGCTCTGCTGGACTATCTTATCTCTGCTAAATAACATTTTTTTC